GGGGCAAATTTCTCCTATATCTGCAAACCCGAGAATTTGGAGGGAAATGACTGCCTTGTGTTTATCTTGATGTCCCCAGAACATTTAACATGGTGTCTGGGGAGCATGGAATGAGACCTGTTGGAGCTAGGGTAGAACAAGAGTGGAGAGAATACAGGAGACAACTCTAAGGTCAAGAATCCAACACAAGCAAATTAGGCAAAGGATCACTCTTGTGCTTGCTCACAATCACTTCCATGGGAGTAGGGGGTATGAGGCACTAAAGCATTTTATACTTGAAATGGCAATTTTTTTCTCCTTGTAGAAATTTTTATGAAGAAAGGTCTTTTCTACCTAGCTAGACATCTTGAATTCTAAAATCTAACATAGCGGAACAAATCTGGCATTTGATTCCATCTATCATTAGGTCACTGTCAGAGTTGATTCTGACCCATAGTGACCCAATCAGACAGCATAGCACTGTCTGTGTGGGTTTCCAAGACGGAAACCCTGTAAGGGAGTAGAAAGCCTTGTCTTTCTCCCAAGCAGTGGCTGGTGGTTTAAAACTGCTGACCTTGCAATTAGCAGCAAAACTCATAACCTATTATGTTATGAGGGCTCAGGGTTGTAAACTGAATATTTACAACTGAGTCAACTGATAATTTTTTGATTGAAGTTGTCAAGGATTTTCTGTTGCTTGAATCCACAATCAGTGCTCATGGAAGCAGCACTCAAGAGATCAAATGAAGCACTCATTGGATAAATCTGCTGCACAAGACCTCTTTACAGTGTTGAACAGCAAGGGGGTTACTTTGTGGACTAAGGTGCACCTGACCCAGTCCACAGTACTTTCAATCACCTCAAATGCATGTGAAAGCTGAATAAAAAATACTGAAGAATAAATGCATTTGAATTATGGGGCTGGCAGAGATTATTGAAAGGTCCATGGGCTGCCCAAATGGTACACAAATCTGCCTTGGCAGAAGTACAGCCAGAATGCTTCTTAAAGTCAAGGATGGTGAGGGAGGATGGCTCAGGACCAGGCAGTGTTGCATTTTCTTGTGCACAGGGTTGCTATGGGTCAGAGATGACTTGATGGCTTCTAAGAACAACTTATCAGGGTTATGAATCAGGCACTCAATTAGGCATTCAAACGAATTTACAGATGCTAGGTGCGGGCAGGGCTGTATTAGAAAACACAGCCTTGATCCTTTTCCAGAGGTCACTGAGTTTGAAACTAGAAGATGAAAAATGTTCATGGGCAATTTAGAGAGGGGGTGAGTGAATGCTGTGGTGTGGGTCCCGAGTTGCAATCGAGGATGAGAAGGGAGTGGGGCACACTTTTAATTTTGTTCATGAATTTGAGTTTTGACATTTTAAGACCTGTCATCCTCACAACTTCTCTTCCAGATTTTGCTTTGTTTTGTGTAAATCACTTTGGATTTTAGCATTAGTGCTGTTGTTTGAAATTACATCTCTATTAGTAATGACATCTCAATTGTAATCTTCGAGTCACATTTCCTAATGTTTTCCCCATTATATGTCCTCTATGAGATGGATGGACACATGGGCTCAGGCATAAGGACAGTTGTGAGCATGGTGCACGACTGTATGGAGTTTCCTTCTTGTGCATAGGGTCCAAGCCGACTCAATGGAAAACAACAATGCATATCCTATATGTATAATATGCTGGTATTTTTGCCCAGGAAACACGGTTTCCAACCCCTTCTGGTTTCTTTGATGCTTTATTATTATTCCTTGTGTTTGTGTTGCATCTTTAAGTAATTCCTTCAGAAAAGGTTTGTGAGGGCTAAACTTTTGAGCTTTTTTAATTCTTTTGCCACAATTTCTGCTCTGCTTTGAGGAGATTCCTGGACACTACACCTAAAGTCAAATGGCAGCTCATGTGCAGAAGCTAAAATCCAGTCTGAATAGAAAGTTCTCCTCCTCCACACTTGGCAACATCAGAATAGATGGAGAAGCGATCCACGGTGGTCAAGGACTTTTGCTTGGATTCAGTCAATGTTCATGGAAGCATGGGCCAATCTGCTCCACCAGACCCCTTTCTGTGTTGAAGAACAAGGATGTCACGTTGAGGGCTGTCGTCTTTTTGAGGAGCCCAGAGAAAACCATGCATATGACTCATGGTGCTGGGGAATACTGAAATTATGAGATACCAGACGAACAAATTAATCTGACTTGGAAGTACAGCCAGAGTTGCTTCGAATCAAGTCTGGGGAGACTTCGTCTCATCTCATGTACTCTGGATATATTAGTGGGACAACCCAGACCCTGGAGAAGGGCATTGTGCTCGGTGCAGAGGAAGGTCTGCATACAAGTGGAAGACCCTCGACAGGATGGATTGTCATGGTGTCTGAAACAATGGCTGGAAGGCAATTGTGAGGATAGCACAGGACTGGGCAGTGGCGCCTTCTGCTGGGTGCAGGGTCACTAAGCGTTGTAACTGACTCAAAGACACCTGATGACTTTTGATTAAGCATTTTACTAGAGGTAAGTCTTAGAGTATGTTACATTGAGCTTGTCACGTTGCCCTGAAAAGGCTGTGCCTGGTGACCAAGGGTTGTGCACAGCCAGAGCCCAATAATTGCCTGGCATTCAGAGTCCACCCTGTTCTTAAACCACACAGGGAAAAGGACACTTAGACTCAGTGTCAGCAACGGAAAGGCCCAAGACCAAGTGCAACTCCTGCTACATCATTAAGCTAGGCCAGAGCACAGAGACTGTGTATGACAAAAGTGGGGGGGAGGGGGGGAAGGGTGGTGGTTTGAGGGTAGAGAAGATTTAAAATACTGATATCCATCCCCATAGGTTGAAGGAACAACAAAGGTTATGCTCTGAATTTTCCCAAAGGTTGAAGGAACAACAAAGGATATGCTCTGAATTTTCCCAAACATTTAATTGAAAAAAAGGGCAACAGAATCCATCCTTTCCTTCCCCTCTGTACACCAATATTTAGGCAGAATATCAACTTTGTTTCAAGTTAAAAAATAAGGCACTTATGGTTAGAACTTGGGTGAGCAAGTTCAATCCCAGGCCCTATAGGTGTTCCACATCTTTTCTATCGCCCCTCCACAGCATGGTCATGGAAGAATCCAGAGGCCGAGAGGAAAACCAGTGGAAAAACTACACGGCAGGCGGTTTCCAATCAGAGGCCGTCTGAAGGGTGCACTTAGCAAAATGGTCAGGTTTCATGCTTCAGGTTTTTAATGTAGCATCAGATTAGCTATGGTGATGATCTTTACCTGGGATGCCCTTATCTCAGACAGGGTTGGGGGGGGGGT